CAATAAAGCAACAAGTGTTTTTGATTTGATTCATTGTGATTTATGGGGACCTTATACCCCGTGTTTGGCTACTGGTGCACACTACTTTCTTACCATAGTGGATGATCACTCTCGTGCTGTTTGGGCTTATTTGATTATTGATAAATCGGAAGTGTCTAGCTGTTTGAAACATTTCTTTGCCATGATTAAGACCCAATTCCATAAAACAATTAAAATTGTCCATTCTGATAATGGCACAGAATTTGTCAATCAAGACCTCCGGTCTTATTACACAACTTTGGGTGTCGTTGTTCAAACCTCTTGTGTTGGTACTCCTCAATAAAACGGTCGGGTGGAACGTAAACATAGACATATTTTAAATGTTGCCCGATCTCTTATGTTTCAAGCCCAGTTACCTATTGAATTTTGGGGGGAATGTGTACGTACTGCAGTATATTTGATTAATCGTACCCCCAACAAAATACTTGGTGGCAAGTCCCCTTTTGAAGTTCTTAACCATAAAGCCCCTGATCTTAGTCATCTCAGAATTTTTGGATGTTTATGTTTTGTTCGCATTAAAACCAGTAACAAATTTCATCCTCGTAGCACCAAATGTATGTTTGTTGGGTACCCCTCTGGCACCAAAGGCTGGCGTGTGTATGATCTTGATAACCATCGTTTCTTTCACACTCGGGATATTGCTTTTGACGAGAGCACCTTCCCGTTTGCCACCCATCGCACGTCGGCCGAACCCCCTACCCCCATCCCATACGTCGATTTTCCCGAAATGCCCCAGCCCGCGTCATCCCTGGTCACTCCCGTCGGTCCACTGCCGGCGTCTGTTCCCGTCGAGCAGCCCGACCAGCCGATCTCAGGGGACGCACAGCCTTCCGATTCCAACCCAAGCCCTTCCGATACAGCCGCCGTTCCTTCTCTTCATCCGCAACGGCAGCGTCGTCAGCCCTCCCACCTTAGTGATTACATCGTCAATTCTATTCAATCTCACGCTCCGATGTGTTCGCCGCCTCCCCGGTCCTCTTCTTCAGGTACACATTATCCTATTGCCAACTTTGTTTGTTATCATAAATTACATGACAGGTATCGTGGTTTTCTTGGCGCCATCAGTCCGCACTTTGTTCCCAAAAATTATGCTAAGGCTGTTCCTCATGCAAACTGGCGGGCAGCTATGCAAACGGAGCTATTGGCGTTACAGAACAATCAGACTTGGGATATCACTACTTTACCACCTGATCGGACAGCTTTGGGGTGCCAATGGGTCTTTAAGACCAAATTCAACTCTGATGGTACTAAAGAACGGGACAAAGCACGACTGGTTGTCCTTGGCAACCATCAGACTTTGGGGGTTGATTACACAGATACTTTTGCTCCAGTGGCAAAAATGGGTTCGGTTCGAGTTTTGCTCTCTGTTGCCGCGACACGAGGGTGGCATGTGCATCAGCTTGATGTTAACAACGCTTTTCTTCATGGTGATCTAATTGACGAGGTTTATATGCGTTTGCCACCTGGTTATGCACATCTTTATCCGGGAAAAGTGTGTCGTCTACGGAAGTCTTTATATGGATTACGTCAATCACCCCGCAATTGGTTCGGGAAACTTACCTGTGCTCTCAGGCGCTATGGCTTCCGCCAGGCTCATGCAGATCATACTCTTTTTATTCATCGTTGTGGATCGGACATTTTGGTTGTTCCAGTCTATGTTGATGACATTTTGGTTGCAGGTAACAATTCCACCCTTTGTGCTTCGTTCAAAGCTTATCTGCATCGATGTTTCAATCTTAAAGATTTGGGGCCCTTGTCATATTTTTTGGGTATTGAGTGTGCCCGTTCTGCGACAGGTATCGTTCTCTGTCAACGCAAGTATGCTCTAGACATCCTCAATGAAGCGGGTCTCTTGGGATGTAAACCGGCCGATACTCCTATCACCCCAAATCACGGGTTGAGCCGTTCTACCATTTCCGAGCTGCGTGACCCAGCTCAGTACCGCCGTCTTGTGGGTCGCTTGATATATCTGACAATTACCAGGCCAGATCTCTCTTACTCGGTGCATGTCTTGTCCCAGTTTATGCATGCCCCACGGCTCGACCACATGGACGCCGCCCGACGTGTTTTTCGTTATCTAAAGGGTCATCCGGGATAGGGGATTCTTCTACGCAGTGATAGTTCTCTTCAGTTATCTGCATATTGTGACTCTGATTGGGCATCTTGTCCACTTACCCGACGTTCTGTAAGTGGCTATTTTATTCTCCTCGGTGGTTCTCCGGTCTCCTGGAAAACTAAGAAGCAAACCACCGTGTCCCGGTCCTCGGCGGAGGCTGAGTATCGCTCCATGGCTAATGCGTGTGCAGAAATTCGTTGGATTTGGGGTCTTCTTGGGGCACTTGGCGTGACCCCTCCTACGACGCCACGCTTGTTTTGTGACAACAAATCTGCTTTATTTATTGCTGCTAATCTTGTTTTCCATGAGCGCATGAAACACATCGACATTGATTGCCATATTGTTCGGAGAGTGTGTACAGCGCGGTGAACTTGTCACATCTTATGTTCCTACTCGTCTTCAGATTGCTGATATCTTCACTAAAGCCCTAAACAGACCCCTATTTTCGTTCTTACTATCCAAGTTGGGCATTTGTGATCTCCATGCTCCAACTTGAGAGGGAGTGTTCGCGTATATTTAGTTATTTATTTATTTCCTTGTATGTATTTATTTCCTTGTAAGTAATCCTTACCATAGTTGTATTAGGAAACTTACTTGTATATATACTTTGTGAATACTCAATGGAAACCAATTCAGTCTTTCACAAAATTCTACACTCACCTCCAAGTCTCAAACTCCAGCAACTGCTGTCGGAACCCCCTTCCACCTCCTTTTGCCTCGTCTCTATCAATGCATGCCCGACTCTGCCCATATCGCGCTGTTGTGCCATTGTTGCCGAAACCCACCGTCGACATAAATTACAGAGTAACTTATCATTCATGAAGCATAGATATATAAGTTGAACCATGGAATTATGGTGAATCGTGTTACACCGATAACTCTAGGCTATCGAACTGGAGCTGCCACCACTACATAAAAATCGAGTAGTCATCCTTAGCACCAACATACTTTGCACTATCATCGTCGATCACAACACCACATTAATTTTCTATATAGTGTCAAAAAAGACAATGCCAAACATAGTAATATATGATGTCACATATGGAAACACATAATTCCACTACAGATGCACATATATAATGTTACATATGCAAATTCAAAATGTCAAACAAAGAGATAATTTCAAACCAAACATTGCACTGCACTACTGTTAAAGACCATCACTCATACCACAACCACCTTTATAGCGACCAGATGACTAATCGTCTCGAGACCTAGTAGTTGACTTCAAGTTTTGCAGTACCGAAAATTGTCTCCAATGGAAACTTCAAGCTTGGGGCCAAGGGTTGTGACCGTTGACACCATAGATTCTGCCAAGAACTTGGCTTATAGCTGACCAGACGTCAGATCTGGGTGGATGGGGGTGTGTGGATGTAGCACTATGAGAGGGAAAGAGAAGAGGGGGATGGGCGGCGCGGCTCGTAGGATGGCATTGTGAGGGATGGATTAGTGCTAGTGAAGGGAGTAAAGAGAGTGGCGGTAGAAGGTTGCCGACGATGGAGGCAATGTTTTCATTTCTTCGTTTTGACCAGATTATTTACAAAGTTATCCATCACCTATTATGAATATCCCCAGATGACTTATATATCATTTAAGTCATTTAATCTATACGAGAGAATATTTAACTTATAAGCAGTTTTTAAATTAAAAATTATTTATAAACAATAAGTCAATAAGAATCAGCATAGAGAAACACTCTCTTATTCTATTTTTCTTTGTCCCAAAAAAATAAGGAAAAAAGATTAAACTTGAAGTAAAGCATGGAAGAGATACCAAAATAATACCTCCATATCATTTATTCCAAAATAGGAATACAGTGTCAATAATTTCAATATTCATTACTAAAAAATAATAAGATGTTATTATATAATGTCATAATAAAAATAGAAGTCCTGAATCTTTTAAGACCAAAATGAGAGTAAAATGGAAATGTGCTGTAAGAGCACAGGTTGACAGTGTGAGAGAAAAGCGATGACACTTTAAAATATCTTATGATCAGTCAATTGTCGGTAATCTGCGACGGTACTCAGGTGACCGGTTATGCCGAATGACAGTGTGACAGTTCTAATGTACTCCCTAATAATGTAGTGAGTGAAACCGTGTAACAATAACAGTAAACTTATGACTCATATTTTAATGTTTTTAGTATTTTTTAGTAGGAAGACCTCTCCTAACTAATTTTTTCAAGCTCAACGCCAGGGCTGGACACGGTACCGGTTCGGTACCATCACCGGAAACGGTACCGCCGGTACCGAGCACCGTAACGGCAACCGGGACGGCGAAACGGTTCCAAGAACCGGCACCGTTACCGCCACATCCAGTCTCGGTTCCGGTGCCCCAAAATCGTTACCGGTGCCGGTTCCGGTACCAGTTTTTTTTTCTCCTTTTTGCTCTCCAACGGTAACCTGCAAAAAAAACAAAGTTAGTGGGGGGGGGGGTTATTTTTTTTATAAATACCCATTTTTTCTTCTAAATTCTAAAAAAATCACACTCATCAATCCATATCCATCTCTCTTACTCTCTAATCTCTATTCTCTCATTCTCTCAAATTTCAATATCTCAATCTATCATTTTAATTTCTCAATCTTAATATCTTATTATCTCTTTTATACATTTTTTTTTAAATATATTATATTTTAATATAAAAAATTTCGAAATTATTTGAAATTTTCGAAATTTAATATTTCTTTAATATCAAAAAATATATAATATATATTTTAAATATATTCTCTATTTTTTTTTTTGAAATTTTCGAAATTTTTATATATAAAATTTCGAATTTTTTTTAAAGTTTCGAAATTTAATATATTATTTTTTTATATCAAAATATATATATATATATATTAAAATGTCGAGAGAGTCCGGTAGAAGGTCCGTGGATATGGGCGCC